GCGAACTATCACCCACAGGAAGGGAGGGAAAGCATTTCCCAGCTGTTCAGCCCAGTTTATTGGTGTGTTTTGCCTGAATGACAGTGGATTTCCTGAGACTCTATAGATAGCCGTCTGAGTGACAACATTTCCATTGTCATCACTGGGTTTTGCATTAGGCTCGTACCCATCCAGCCCCTTAGGGCTTTTCTCCTTCTGCTCTGACACATATCCCTAGGAGGAGTGAGAGTCACTAAGGATTGTCACCAGTACTCCTGGACTGACGGACTGTGAAGGCAAAGGCAAACCACAGGAGACTTGTCAAACTGAGGACATAACTTTATAGGGAGTCCAGCTGTATTCTCATTTTTTTGCACATTTCCCACCCTAAACCTATTCCTTTCCTGTCCTGGAGGGCGTTGGAAGCTGAGAACCAGGAAAAGCATTAATGGAAGCAAATTTTTTATTCTCAGAAGTCCATCTTCTCCAAGGCAAACAGGTCCTGCTGATTGACTCATGGTTTACCAGAAGGCAGCCCTGCTGTAACAAGACTTAGCAAGTGGTGATCTAGCCTGCAAGAGCCTGAAGGAGACTGACCTGTTGGGTTACATGAACAGCCTCCAGCTGGCTCAAGGACAGCCAGGGAGCAAGCTACAGAAACATATTCCCTTTGTTAGTAAAAGAGCTAGGAAAGGCTGAAATCCTGTTTTAGGAAGATGAAAAAACAAATAAGGCGTGCAGACTTTGATATTTCTAATGATTCTTTGATGTATTCTCTGAAGTGAGAAGAGGAAATCACATGGAGAAATATGGGAGAAGGTAAAAAAGTGGAAAATGAGGTGAAATTGTACAGAACATGCCGTGAGAAGAGAATGGAGAAAGCTGTAAAGTACATGAGGAGAAAAATACAGCAATTGCTGAATGTGGAGAACGAAAATGAGGCAAAAAACTTCTTTAGAACTAAATCTAACAGTAAACTTTTACATGAGGAAGTCTCCGAAGGACTTACTATCAATCACTAAAAATTGAAGAAACCCCTCAGAGGCTGTGTGAGAAAAAGCAAGCGAAGTATTCCAGACTTTAACGTAGCTAAGGTAAATGTATGCTTAAAACTTTGTGGGGTGATTGGCCAGACTTGCAATCAACAGTGTGAGGGGAAGGTTTGTCCTGTAGACAAAGGTCTAGGGTCAATGAGGCAAAAGTCTTGAAACCCAGATCTGCTTCTGGAGTGGAACTTACATAAACCACTCTGAAATTTTGCTTGAATAACATCAGAGTAGGTCATCAGCTGGATTATGTCAGCTCCCAGCATAGCCTCTTGCAAGGAATCAGAAAATGGACTGATTGTACAACATAAAGATCTGTATTCAGATGGGGCAGTGTCTCTTGCACATTATTTAAATTATTAAAAGAATGCTTGCGAAATGTAAATTTGTCCTTTTCCCAAATAAGAAGGTCAGGCTGAAACTTTTGCCTGCCTTTAGGTGCCCACATCCTGACAAGAATCCTTTGAGTCTTTTCTAATAGGAAAGCCATTTTGAGTCATTTAATGATTAGCCTGCATGTGAACTTTAAATTAAAAACAGCAGCTACAATTAATGGAGCCCACGGTATCTTCTGCAGGCTGCAAAGAACAGTAGTGGAAGTGCGGTGGCTTGTCAAGCCTGCTAAATAGAAATGCCATTTTCCAGCTCTCAAAAGGAGGAGATGATAGATGAGAGATGGGGAAGGAAACAATCTCATATAAACAAGACTCCCTTAGGAACAGCCAGCACAAGCTGCCAGTGTGGATGAAATGGTTGGATAGGATTTTCCTTCATTTGAGAACAGGCCATTTAAACTGCAGATGAGGTGCTTTCCTTACTTTATACTCTTGTGGAAGCAGATTTTTCAAGGAATGTATGGGAGACAAGTGGAAGCCCCATTCAGAATCAGTGGTATCCATGTTCCCATCTCAAAAGCAAATCTGCCTGCTACCAGGACTTTATTAAAGCC